ATTACAATTGAAGAGGAACGGCATCACATTCTTCGTCAAAAAGAACATTTCAAGATCTATCCTGAAGTACAATGCTGTCAGTGATAGGATAATGTCCACACATCAACAAGGAAGACCAGTTAATGCGACTATGATTCAAATTTATACACCAACCACTAAGGCCACAGATGAAGAAATTGAACATTTTTACCAATTTCTGCAGTCTGAAATTGATCAAACACGCAATCAGGAAGCATTTATAATTACTGGTGATTGGAATGTGAAAGTTGGAAACAAAGAAGAAGGATTGATAGTTGGAAAATATGGCCTTGGTGATAGAAACGACACTGGAAATAGCATGATAGAATTTTGCAAGACCATCAACTTCTTCATTACAAATACCTTTTTCCAACAACATAAACAGTGGCTACACATGTGGACCTCACTGGACAGAAAACACAGGAATCAAATCAACTACAGCTGTGGAAAGAGATGATGGAAAAGCTCCATATCATCAGTCAGAAAAAGGCTAGGGGCCAACCGTGGAACAGACCATCAATTGCTCATATGCAAGCTCAAGTTGAAATTGAAGAAAATTAAAACAAGTCCAGGACAGCCAAAATACGACCTTGAATCTAGCCCATTTGAATTTGGAGACCATCTCAAGAACAGGTTTGACACACTGAGCACTAAAGACTGAAGACCAGATGAGTTGTGGGAAGACATCACAGATATCACACATGAAGAAAACAAAAGATCATTAAAAAGACAGGAAAGAAAAACTAAAATGGACGCCAAAAGAGACTCTGAAACTTGCTCTTGAATGTAGAGAAGAAGCTAAAGCAAAGGGATTGAATGATGAAGTAAAGGAGCTGAACAGAAGATTTCAAAGGGCAGCTCAAGAAGACAACGTAAAGTATTATAATGAAATGTGCAAAGACCTGGAGTTAGAAAACCAAAAGGGAAGAACACACACAGCATTACTCAAGCTGAAAGAACTGAAGAAAAATTCAACCCTCGAGTTGCACTTCTGAAGGATTCTATGGGCAAAATATTGAATGACATAGGAAGCATC